CCTCCCTCTCTGGGGCAATTGTGGGGTGATGGTAGGGCCCCCCGAACAATCACATGGTACCCGCCTTGACTGGCCTGGCACCAGTGCATGTCATAGCGTGGCCGTCCAGAAGGTCATTTGGACAGTTGTTCTGCTGTTTGGTTGTTCAGTCGATTTGCATATTACACTTTTATTATTATAGATTTTCACTTATTTCAAAGAGGAAGGGAGAGGGAGAGAGAGAGAGAAACATCAGTGATGAGAGAGAATTATCTATCTGCTGCCTCCTGCACATTCCCTACTGGGGATCCACAACCCAGGCACGGGCCTTGACCAGAAATCAAACCAGCAACCTCTTGGTTCCTAGGTCCATGCTCAACCATTGAGCCACACCAACCAGGCTAGAAGGTTGGTTTTTATTGGCACATCTAACTAGTTCTTACTTCTTGAAACACTATGTTAATTTTGTGATTTTGGTCGAGGTATCCTTACAGACATTAATATTTTCTGATTTCTTTTCAGCTTCTGGAAAATAATGCGGACAGAATAGTTCCCTTAAGGTACAATTTTTCACAAAGAAACAAAATAACTAGCTCAACACCCACACACACATATTGAAAGAGGGAGAGAGAGAGAAAGAGAAACAGAAGAATTAATACACAACCTCATGGTCAAGGGCATGGAACCAATGCATCTTACCTGTCTAACCAGGAATAATGATACATTAAAAAGTGTGATGTTGACATTTAAAAGTCAAATGCTCCAGTTTAGGAATGCTTTCCAAACCTGTACTTAAACATTACAAATGCAGAAGATGATGCTTTCAGGGCATCCTATGGAAAATGTCTGTGCCTGTTTATATCAGCGGTATCTGGTACAGTATTTTGCCAGCGTAAGGCCTGGTTGAGCCCTGATTAAAATCTTCGGAATGGCATTAAGGTTCACAAGAAACCCACTGTTCGCATGTCTTAGCATCAAGGAAACAAATCTGATAATTCATTGTTTTGTCTTTATTATACCTTTTTAAAAATATTCTGGCACTAACTGGTTTGGCTCAGTGGATAGAGCATCGGCCTGCGGACTGAAGGGTCCCAGGTTCAATTCCGGTCAAGGGCATGTACCTGGGTTGCGGCACATCCCCAGTGGGAGGTGTGCAGGAGGCAGCTGATCAATGGTTCTCTCTCATCGATGTTTCTAACTCTATCCCTCTCCCTTCCTCTCTGTGAAAAATCAATAAAATATATTTTTAAAAGATTCTGTTTATCTTTAATTAAGGACCTAAAATACCCTGAGATCCCATGGACTCTGGAGTGTGATCCCTTTAAGTCTTTATTTTTAAATTTTATTTCCATAAATATTTGTTAAGTATTATTGTCACATACTGTGCAAGGTGCTGGCAAGACCAATGTGGGGGTGGGGGGGGAGAAGAACAAGGACACTCTTCTCACTAAAGCTTACATTCAGGATAGAGGAGGAGTGAGGACCAGACAATAGTCCAAAAATGCAACCTAAACGAACTCTTAGGACAAGTGTTATAAAGGAGGGTCGCATAATGGTGGGAAAGTTTTTGGGCTGAGGAACACTAGACACTCAATTATTTCAAAAATAGAATGTAACTGATGATTTATTTTACTTTTAGAAACGACATGGTCTTTTTGGCAGAAAGGTGGTTCATATGCTTTTAGAGTCTATGCTAACTCCTCATTCTCTTAGCGGTTGCATTTTGAAATGATATGACCAGACATTATCATATGCCATTTCACTGAAAATGGACTCCTCCATGGCCTAGTGAGTTGTTTGAAGATTTTAGGGAAATGCTTTTCAAGGCTGGCACAGTTTAATTAACTCATAGCTTCTAAATGTTAATTCTAAAATGTGTGGTAATACTTCATTGCTTGGAACATTTTCTTTTATTTTGGGCTAAGAATTTCCAAGTAGACTGTTTAATGGATTCTTACAGAGAACACGTCAGATTGAGTCCTTTGTTCACTCACCTATTATTCTTTAAGTCTTCGGATGACTTAAATGTGGTTGATACTTCAGGAAAACTGTGTAGGGGAAACACGCAAGAAGAGGAATCCTAGGACCACTGTTCACCTGCTTGCAAGGTTTTCTTGACAATTCTCATGATAGCTAACGGAAAAGTGTGGCTCATAGTTACATAAATTGTACAAACAATGTGAATTTGACTAAACACCTGCTTGCCTTCTCAGAGTCTGGGATTTTTTTATGAGCTAGGATGTGAGCATTAAGTCTCTAATGAGCTTCTCTGATGAACTAAATTTCACACCTGTTGTTACAACTCATTGCTGAAGGAATTACCTACATCTGTGGGGCTCCAATGGGAAAGGGTTCTTGGATGCTTGCACCTGGTTTCCTCTAAACCAGTGGTTGTCAACCTTGGCTGCACATGAGAATCACCTGGGAATCTTTTTAAAATCCTGATTTCTGGGCCTCCTCCTCTGGAAATTCTGTTTCTTTGTTACTCATGTTGTGGCCCCACCCCATAACAAAGAAACAGAATTTCCAGAGGAGGAGGCCCAGAAATCAGGATTTTAAAAAGATTCCCAGGTGATTCTCATGTGCAGCCAAGGTTGACAACCACTGCTCTAAACTTTGCCTCTGTGCCTTGTCCCTTTGCAGATTTTGCTTTGCATCCTTTCACTGCAATCAATCACAGCTATGCATATGCTGAGTTTCAGTGAATCATTGAATCTGAGAAAGGCCTTGGGTTCCTCTAACACACCCAGGAAAGATACATATTTCTATATATACTAGTTGTGATCTCGAAGATGATATAGTCTTATTTGTGCATGAGACTCAGAAGCAAAACCTTGAAGATCAGTGGTTCTCAACCAACAGCAATTTTTCCCAAAGCGGGCATTTGGCAATAGTATCTGGAGAAATTTTCAGTCATCGCAACTGGGAAAGGGGGAGTCATTCAGTGGACAGAGAGAGGCCAAGGATGCTGTTGAACATTCTACAATGCGTAGGACATCCTCTACTACAAAGAATTATGTGGCCAAAAATGTCCATGGTTCTTTGTGTGAGAAACCTCATATAAGAATGCAAGATAATAGTCAATTGAATATCAAAACTAAAAATGTGGAAAATAAGTACAAAGGCAGAATGCACAAAGGGAAAATAATTTATTCTGAATTGAAGTTGTTACCAAGCCTAAAAACTCTTCAGAATGATTATGAAACTACTGGAGACCTGAATATGCATAGCCCTCTCAAATGTATAACCACATTACCCCCAGTGTTTAAAGAATGGATTGTTTGAAATAGAGAATGTCATTTTCAATAGGAATAGGACCAAAATTTCCCTCTTGCAAGATGTGTACAACTCCACTACTACTTTCAATTATAGTATGTAAATATTACACAAATGTCTTACTGTTGCTAGCAAGAAATGCATTTGGAACACATAGTTTCAGATACCTATTATCTCTGCTGCAGTTCTGGTAGTGGTTCTGAAAATTACACTCTTCATATCAACAAGAAATGGGCAATAAAGAGATTACCTCACATTACTCCTTCACATCTTAAATTCTTACATTCTGGAGAAATAATATTATACATGACAATGGTAGGGCTCTGGGGACAAAATAAATGCATAAGAGTCACTTAGACTTCAACTGTGCCCCAAACCAGGTTATTCTCAGGATGTTAATATGATGGGTTTAGAGGGATAGAAAATAAGGTAAGCCTTCCTGTGCTTCTAGATCAATAAAAAGTTGGTCTCAATTTTAAGTTAGATAGGAGTATGACAGACAAATCTTAAGGAGATAGGAGGGGTCCAGGTGGTATTGCTTGTGGTTGAGCATTGAACGATCAACCAGGAGGTCATGGTTTGATTCCTAGTCAGGACACATGCCTGGTTTGCGGGCTTGATCCTTAGAGGGGTGGGGGGGGGCATGCAGAAGGCAGCTAGTCAATGATTCTCTCTCATCATTAATCTTTCTGTCTCTCTCTCCTCTCTCTTCCTCTTGGAAATCAATAAAAATATATTTTAAAAGTAGGAGGGAATAGGAATTCTTAGGGTCTACTAAATTTATTAAAAAAAACTGTTGATATATATAATATATATGGGCATTTTGAGAGAGGGTAAGTCAGAAATTCACTATAGTGTGTGTGTGTGTGTGTGTGTGTGTGTGTGTGTGTGTGTGTTTTCTCTTGGCAATGCAATTGTACCACATGAACCTTGGAATCCATCCATGGCATGGGAGAGCAATATCCTGTATATGTTGTTGTTTGCTGATGGTTTGAACAAATTAAGCATTTTGGAGTCAAATCTGGAGTCAAATTCCAGTGTTTCTACTTAACCTGTGGCTTGAGCTATGTTGATTGAATCTTAATTTGAATCTTCATAATTTGTAAAATTATTGTGTAGTTATTAGGGGAACGTATGGAAGCTTGATGTGGAATTCAAAGTAACTGCTGAATATCATATTTAGCTCCTGTTTTGGTGACATTTTTTTCCACTCAAATGATGCACTGGAATGAAAAGTGAAGTATGGAATACATTCAGCACTTCCTGACAAACTGAGTTATGTCATTTATCTTTGTGGATACATGGGAAGAAGAGCACATTGAATTCAATGACTTAAGGGTAACCGAAGCTGACAGATGACAGAAAGAGACTTAGTTCACCCCAATCACTCTGGGAAGCAGACTTCTCACTTAGAATAAGTGATATTTTGAAATAGTCAAAAAATGGATGAGAGTGAACACATAGCAGAGGGTCAAGAACGTGGCATAGGGAAACAAAGTAATTGCCTCTCCGTACAACCCCATCAAAATTACAATTAAACCATAGGGCAACCATTATTTAGAACCATCTGAAATCTGGCTGAATGGAAGACCTACAACTAGAGAATTAAAGGAGAAGCCACACTGAGACTGTTAGGAGGCCATAGGCATGGAACCGGCTAATTTAAAACCCATGTGTGGCTTTATTTTTTTAATTGAGAGGAATATCTTGGCTGCAGAAGCCCCCATGAGGAGCAGGGGTCCCTACCAGACCCCTCAGCCCAGGATTCTAGTGCCTGGAAGAGAAGTCCCTGTAACTTTGGGCTATAAAAACCAGCAGAGATTGTGGCTGAGAAAGACGAAGGCTGCTAGAGTCCGAGTCAGATCCTCCTAAAGGGCTGGTGCAGGGACTTACTTGGACTCACTCCCTCTGCACTTCAGTGCTGGGGCAGAAATTTGAAAGGATCTAGGAGCATATGGGAAGGCACAAAATTGTCTGTCATCAGAGCAAGAACTGGGGGGCAGCTTTCTCCCTGATGAAAGTGCTGGCAGAGATCATTGTTCCTTTGCTGAGGCCTCCCCCACTTTAGCGCTGAAAGGTAGTCACCGTATCTGAGTTGCCATCAGCCTGGCCCACACTGTTCACCCCTTCCTTGTGACTCCCTGAGACCACACCCCACCCTACCCAATTTTCAGCCCAAGCAAGCTGCTTGCAGTCACTTTTCCATATGAATGGCTGTCCTGACTATGGCCTCCTAACAGTCTCAGTGTGGCTTCTCCTTTAATTCTCTAGTTGTAGGTCTTCCATTCAGCCAGATTTCAGATGGTTCTAAATAATGGTTGCCCTATGGTTTAATTGTAATTTTGATGGGGTTGTACGGAGAGGCAATTACTTTGTTTCCCTATGCCATCTGGCCTCAGCATCTCCTATTTCTCGTGATAAATTGCTCCAGGCCCAATACTAGCAGCAGCCTATGTAGGTTCACAGCTTGGTCTCTCCTAGACACTTACAGGCCCAACACAAGTAGCAGCCATATGGGTGGTCACTGGTGGGGCACAGGCAGAAGATGGTTTTGCACTACCCTGGCGGTCAGCTTCAGATGACACCAAATGACAACCCTACCAAATCCATGAATGACACACTCAAGGGGCAGACTTGGTAAGCACCAAAGCCCCACTGAAGCAAGTCCTGCTCCACAGTGGTGCTCCTGCACAGCAGCTTGTCCACTGTAGTTGCAACTTGCCTGAGGGCCGATCTATCCCAGTGATGCCAACAGCAGTCAAGGTTCAACTACAGCAGGACAGTGCACACAGCCCTTACAAGGGACATATAGCATCCCCAGCTCAGGTGACTGGGGAGGCTGAGCCACTGGACCCTGTAGGACACCTACTACACAATGCCACTTTACCAATTCCAGAGACATAGCAGCTCTACCTAATAATATAAATAAACATAGTGAAGCATTCAAATGCAGAGACAAATAAACATGTTGCAAATGAAAGAACAGAAGAAATCTTCAGAAAAAGAACTTAATAAAATGGAAGCAAGCACACTACCAGATACAGAGTTTAAAACAATGGTTATAAGGATGCTCAAGGAACTTAACGAGGACTTCAAGGAACTTAGTGAGAGCATCAAAGACACAAAAAAGGACCAGTGAATAATGAATGATACACTAATTGAAATGAAGAATAATTTACAGGGAATCAACAAATAGGATAGAGGACACTGAGAATCAAATCAGTAATTTGTTATATGAGGGAGCAAAAAATACCCAATCATAAGAGCATAAAGAAAAAAAGAACCAAAAATAGTGTAAGGTGCATCTGGGACAATTTTAAGTGTACCAACATTTGCATTAAAGGGGTATAGGAAAAAGAAGAGAGGGTGCAAGAAATTGAAAACCTATTAGAAAAAATGACAGGAAACTTTCCTTACCTGGTAGAAGAAATAGACATTCAAGTTCAGGAAACATAGAGTACCAAACAAGATGAAATCAAAGAGACACACACCAAGACACATCATAATTAAAATGCCAAAGGTTAAAGACAAAGAGAGAATCTGAAAAGCAGCAAGTTACCTACAAGGGAGCGCCCAATATGACTGTCCGCTGATTTCTCAACGGAAACTTTACAGGCCAGAAGGGAGTGCCAAGAAATATTCAAAGTAATGAAAAGCAAGACCCTACAATCAAAATTACGCTACCCAGCAAAGCTATCATTTAGAATTGTAGAACATTAAAGAGCTTCACCGACAAGAAAAAGTGAAAGGAGTCCATCACCACCAAACCAGTATTACATGGAATCTTTTTTAAAAAATATATTTTATTGAATTTTTTACAGGGAGGAAGGGTGAGGGAGAGGGATAACGAGTTAGAAACATCCATGAGAGAGAAGCCGATTCGGCTGCCTCTTGCATGCCCCCTACTGGGGATGTGCCTGCAACCCAGGTACATGCCCTTGACCGGAATCGAACCTGGGACCCTTGAGTCTGCAGGCTGACGCTCTATCTGCTGAGCCAAACTAGCTAGGGCTACATGAAATCTTAAAGGGTCTTCTTTAAGAAAAAGAGAAGAAGAAAAAGATTTAAAAATATGAACAATGAAATGGCAATAAATACATATCTATCAATAATTGAATCTAAAAATCAAAATAAATGAACAAGGAATCTAATGAACAAAATAAACTGATGAATAAAATAGAGGCATGGAAACATGGAATGGACTGATGAATCTCAGAGGGAGGGGGTGATGGGTGGGAAAAGATTAACCAAAGATCTTATATGCATATATGCATTACCTATGGACACAAACAATAGGATGGTGAAGGCCTTGTGTGGAGTGGGAACCAGGTTGAGGGAGGTAATAGGGGGAAAACGAGGAGTATCTGTAATACTCGTAATAATAAAGAGTTAAAAATAATGGATGAGACCCTGCTCAAAAATAACTATTTTCAGTGAATAAAAAGCAGCACAGACTTCTCCATAGCTGGAAATTAAGGACTTCATGAAATAATCCTAGAATTAACTATTTATTATGTGCTATAGAGCTACGTGGTTTATGGTTTGAGCTTAAGGTATTGAAAAACCAATTTAAAGACAAATATGTAAAAAAAATCTGAAACTTATAGTTGGGGCATGTTTTGAAAATTTTAAAAAGTAGTAGTGAAGATTTTTAAAAAAAGAAGATTTAGTGAATTTGGAGAAATTTATCTCACTTTATAGAGAAGAAGTTTTTCTACTATTCCTATTAATAAAAATAATTTCTTGCTAAATGACCACAACTACAAGAAAATATTACATAAAAATATCTTATTTCTATCATTTTTGTCTCACTCAACAATATTGTAACTAGTGATTAAATATCCCAGACATTTAAAAACTATTAAAGAAATGTGCTGGCCAATATTTGAAAACACGTTGGCTTTCACTTCAGATTAGTTCGACATTCTGCTTTTATTTATTGTCAGTTTCTGAATAAGTTCTGTATTATACCAGAGCAACCTTCCATTAACTGATCAAAAGTAAGTTTCTAAACCTGTCTAAAACATGGAAATCCCATGAAGTATTAGCACTATGTGGAATCCAGACAGAAACCACCTGTCAATCTTACTAATTAAGTTCAAGTTCAGTGCCACATTTAGTATGCTGTGATACACATTCAGCCAGCATACATCAGTAGACTAGTGCCTAGTACAAGAGCAAACTCTTTTACCCTTTTAAGAAATATTATATATTTGTTGATTCTTTTTGTTTGTTTTGTGCAATGTTGATTAGATCACTCTCTTTCCTTTTTGTGTTTTTTTCACCATTTATGTGAAAGGATTTAATTTGTTTTTTTTTCACCTTCCTTTGAATAGTGTTTCCTTGGCTAAAGGCAATTAGCAATCTAGCTTTCAACTGAGCTCCAATAACATGCAATTTACAAAATCTTAAAAGAACACAGGTAGTTACGAACTAGTAATCAACTTAGCTTTGGAGAAACACTTTAATTTTTTAGTATCTGTCACAATCATAAGCCCCTTGAGTTGATTTAAATCATTGAGGTATGATTGCTCTCAAAAGATTTTTTGTTTTTATTTTTCCCCTTCTCATGATGTGCTTATAAACAAAAAGAAAAAAAATTCAAAAATTAAGATAATTTATGGCACTATAGAAACTTTCCTTATATAATTTAATTAGTGATCAAATTAAAAAATAAACTGGTAAGAATAGCTGCCTTGTGCAGGTGTGTGACTCAGTGGCTGAACATCAACCTATGAACCAAAAGTTCATGCTCCAATTTTGAGCTCAGTCCCAAGTAGGGGGTGTGTAGCAGGTAGCCAATCAATGATTCTCTATCATCATTGACATTTCTATCCCCCTCCCTCTTCCATCTTCTTCATCTCTCTGATGTCACTTTTTAAAAATCATTAAAAAAAAGTTTAGGGTCCTTTGTAATTTCTTGGAAATATTTAAAGAAGAAACCTTTGTAACCAAATATATCATTTTTAAAATTAAATCCATTGGGCAAAAGTGATTAGTGAAATTATCTAAGTTTCATAGTTCAACTATATAATACATCATCTGTAAATTACATCTTGTGCTCACCATCCATACTCTAGTATTCTTCTGTCACCACATATTTGACTCCCTTTACCCTTTATACCTCCCTCTGCTCCTTTCCCCTCACAACATCACCATGGTGATATTGATATCTATGAGTTTATTTGTTGGTTGCTTTCTGTTTTAAATTCCACCCCATACTAGAGGCCTGGTGCATGAAATTTTTGCACTGGGGAGAGGGGTGTCCCTCAACCCAGCCTGCACCCTCTCCAATCTGGGACCCTTTGGGGGATGTCTGACTGCCAGTTTAATCCCAATCCCTGCAGGATCCGGCCTAAACTGGCAGTCGGGCATCCCTCTCACTATCCAGGACTGCTGGCTCCCAACCACTCACTTGCCTGCCTGCCTGATTGCCCCTAACCGCTTCTGCCTGCCAGCGTGATCGCCCCCTAACCACTCCCCTGCCAGCCTGGTCGCCCCCAACTGCCCTCCTCTGCTGGCCCAATTGCCCTCCCCTCCTGGCCTGTTTGCTCTTGGGTGTGGCCATCTTGTGACCACATGGGGGCGGCCATCTTGTGTGAGAGCATGATGGTCAATTTGCATATAATCTCTTTATTATATAAGATATGCATGAAATCACATGGTTGTTTTCCTTTTCCATCTGATTTATTACACTCAGTATGATACTCTCAGGATCCATCCACATTGTCAAAAATGGCAGTATTGCATCTTTTCTGATGGTGAAGTTGTATTCCATTGTACATAGTTATCACATCTTCTTTATCCAATCATCTATTTAAATGCACTTCCTTTGTTTCCATGTCTGGGCCACTGTGAATAATACTGCACTGAATATAAGAGTGCATATAACTTTGTGAACCAATGTTTTCAATTTTTTTAGGTGGATGCCCCAAAAAAGGGGTCACTGGGTCATATGGTAACTCTATTCTTAATTTTTTGAGTATCCTCCATAATGCTTTCCTTAGTGGCTGCATTTGTTTACATTCCCACCTGCAGTGAATAAGAGTTTTTTTCCTTCACAACCTCTTTCTCCAACAATTGTTAATAAGTGTCTTGTTATAAACAGCCATTCTAACAGGTGGAGGTGGTATCTCATTGTCGTTTTGGTTTGCATTTCCATAACACAAGGATAAAAATATATTTTAGCATCTACCATGTCACCCTTAATAGTTAGGAGCAATATTTAGGGATACAGCATAGCATATATTATGTTAAGGATTCCACTTTTGCCTGTATATTATATTATAAAAGATATATACATCTCTTGCTCTTTTTTTCCCTCTCTCTCTGAAGTGGTGGCAATTTATAATAACAGATTAAAGTATACTTAGAAACCAAATTAAGAAGTATGCTTTGGGTTATTAGTATAAGCTTGTTAAAGTATGACTAAGTGGTCCTGTGAGAATTTTTATAATCTACAAATGTTTTCTT